AAAAAACGGGGTTATTATTAAAATTAACACCGCAGCTTGTAATAGGTACTACATACATACATACACTGCGCGGCATTAATGATCATACGGTGTTTATTTCTACAGCATGTACAGTAGTGGTATTCATCGAAACCAGTGATGCAACCGGCGCCGTATGGGGTTACTCGGCATTTCATCTACAGATCGTGTGTACGCAGCTAATAAACTTATGCGTCGCTAGCAGCCGGTCAGTTTGCGTTTGTACTAGACATTGGTAATAGCGCAATTTTGATGACGCTAGCTCAATAACTACGGCGCCAACTGTGGTGTCAGCGCACTAACCAGCGCAACAGCGCAATGCACTGATTTGAACACGCCATCTGGGTCTCACCACAGTATCCATCGTCATACAACACAGTGGTGTCATGTATATTATTTCCTTAATTTTCGCTGAACAATGCTTGTACCGCCAACCGAATTTAGCTTCTAGGAATGTAGCAAATGCCACGACATTCTCATCATTCTTGAAACACAATACCCGGCGAATGGCGAAGTTCGCCGAATTGGGCGATGCCATCGTTCACCGTTCGCCCTGCTATTGCGCCTACTTTAACAGAATTAGAGCGGTAGCGAAAACTGCTGATATCATTTCCTCGCACTTATAAGTTAGGTGACCATATTTTGAAAAACGAACCCATATTTAGAAATAATGAAATGATATCAAATATAAATATAAGGCAAGGGGGGAATTATTATAAATTATTTTATTTTAAGCCAGATTTAACGAATCGATCACTGTATTTTTCAACCAACAAAAATAAATCGTGTTACATGTTGTTTTCTTCTAAATCTTTGAAAAAAAAAAAACATACCGCCACCTTTGGCATGTACTGCCGCCATTGCCCAGCAGCGCGATAGAAATAAATCTATCGCCGTGTTCAGTTTCATATGCCGGCAGGTGTTCTAATTTTGACAGCGCGAATTTCGCTGCGGTGAGTTCGCCGTTCGCCGGCATTGTATTTCCACTGTAAAGCTTTAAATTTGCCAAGATACATAAGTTTCTGACGTTCTCACCACTCTAAAGCAAAATACGTGTTTTTTTCAAAGAATTAAGGCGAATTGTGTGCGTGTCTCATGTGTTTCTTGGTGTTAATGGGACTAGCGCTATTCATATGATGGTGTTGGCGCGGCAACTCCGGCTACGGTGTTAACGCAAAAGCCCGCGCAGCGCAGTATTCCCCATGCCTAGCTTGTACTTTATTCTGTAAAGTAGCTGTTACGGATAACGATAACGCTTTAACTCAATTATTTCTTTAGTCGACTTAGGCGGTTATTGCTTATGACCACAGAAATATTTATCTCCAAACATTTTAGCAACCTTTTATACACGAATATTTCACCGGTGTGTTCGCATAACGGCGGCCGCAAACATGTAAATATACCTGATTCCTAGGTACAAACGTACCTTCTTCTTTTTCTTTTTTATTGGCGCTGTATTGGCGCCGAGTCGAAAACAGCACGCCAGTCATTTCTCTTCTGTGCTAACTGACGCCAATTGGAAATGCCAAGTGAAGCCAAGTCCTTCTCCACTTGA